ATTCCACCTTACAGGGTCAGCACTACAGCGAAGCGGTCAGAAGTGTCCAAGCGGAGATTCCGTTGTTGCAGTGTTGTTGTTCTCCGTCATGCATCATCTTCCACCTTGAGCAGCTTACAGCTCAAGGCCCAGCACCTCTTGGCGTCCTCTTCATTGTCAGTCCTCCCTGGGAGGTAGCCCGGGTCGATTATACCCCAGCCTTGCTTCACAGGCACAGCCTCGCCGCAGTCTTCGAGATACATTGCACCCCGGCCTTCGAACCTCTTCCCCACGGCCGCCAACACGGTGGTCGCCGCACCTTGTTCGGTGCTCTTGAAGATGTTGAGCACTCTCATGATGTTTCGTGCGTAATACCAGGTCAGGATCTCGCGCAGTCCGCCGCTGGCCGCCTGCAGACCTGTTCTGATGCCGCCAGGGTGGACGGCGAGACCCCACACGCCGGGCTGCCCCGTGGCCGCCTTTGGAACGCCATGGCGTCTCGTGATCTCGGTGGCCATGTATACATTTGCCAACTTGCTCTGCGTATAGCCGGTAGGTGGCGTGTAGGCCCCGGGTTCGGTGAGGTTGACGTCGTCGAAGTGGACGTTGGAATTGCGATGCGCCGTGCTGCTGAGTGCAACGACGCGAGACTGGAAGGCCATCGTCGACGAGGCCTGGAGCGTCGGGAGGAGGAGATGCGTGAGGAGGAAGTGTGCCAGGTGGTTGACACCGAAATGGCGCTCGAAGCCGTCTTCGGTCCTGGCAAACGGGACGTGCCTGATGCCGGCGTTGGTGACGAGGACGTTGAGCCTGCTCGACCGGGCGAGGAAGGCCGACGCGCAAGAGCGGACCGAGGCCAGGGAGTCGAGGTCCAGTTCGAGGAGATGGACCTCGGGATTACTGGCGAGGAACTCCGGTCCCAGCGCTTCGCGGGCCTTGGGCAGGTTCCGCGCCGTGAGGTAGAGTGTCGCGCCGGTCTCTGCGAGAGCGCGGGCGGTCTCGACGCCCAGTCCGCTCGAGCAGCCTGTGATCAGGACGACGAGGCCACGGAGATTGGAGAGGCGATCATTGTCTTTGATGATTTGTAAGGCCGTCGGCCTTGCGTCGCCAGCGCCTCTGGGTCTCTTGTGCGCGGCGGCATAAGGGTTCTGAGGGTCATCCATCGAGTTGGGATCTATCTCTCCGTGGGCAGAGGTTATGGAGTCGCTCAGTGTGTCTTGGTACTAACCAGCATCATGTGCCTTGACTAGAGTGTGGGATATGGTGGCTTTATGTAGTTTTCCAAGGCGATGCGGATATTAGGTATTACTCGAGTTTGCTGTCAGCATTGGACGTTATCGCCGAATGGGACTAAGGAAGATGAGAACATGAAAACCTCGGAAAGACGCCGGCATTTTGCTCAGCCACAGAGTGTTTCCACTGTGTTTTGACATATTCACTCAAAGGCATATCAGCAGATGCTGACCTGTTTCGGCATTCGGATTTGATGACCTTTAGCAGAGCATACTCCCTTTCAGCCTTGCTTACATAATACTGTCACTTTCTGTCTCTCGGGTTCAATACTTTGGTTCCTTGTTGATTCTCTCACTCACGATCATCGCGGCAAACACTACATGCCGTCAAGGTGCCCATCTCGGCGTCCGACGACGCAGATCTGTTTCAGGGCGGTACAAAAGACAAGAACCGACTCGAGGTGAAATTGCTACAATCATGAATTTAACACTACCCCGGATCAAGTCACCGCGAACTCTTCCGCCATATCCCTTGCGTTACTTACTATCTTGTGTGGCCCAAAGATGAATCATCAGACAGTACCGAAAAACAATGATATTGCATGAGCGAAATCGTCGTCGCAAGGAACACAACCCAGGCCGCTACACCTACAGGAGTGTTCGCAACAATAACATGGACGAGTACGAGTACGAATCGACAGTTCAGGGCCCACTAGTTTTGGCTACTGTGGTTCTGTTTTGTCTAGATCGATGTTCAATTCGGACATCATTTCCTTCCCTAATCTTGGATTCAACCAAAACAAATCAAACATGTCCCCCAATTCTCAATGTGAGTACCATGTCCTGATTGATATTGGCCAAGTGACAGCCAAGTCTTGACCTGTATGAGGGTCGGCCGGTGAAGCTTTTGTGTGGTGAGGCGAGGCGATGGAAATAGTATTCACGTACATCATATCTAGGGCATCTACCGGTCCAATTCAGATTTCGACTGCATCATTTCTTCTGGAGAAACTCTTTTCCGAAGTGGTCGGATTGAATCGAGTTTTGATGAACCAACAAAGTCCTGGCACAAGTATCAAAGACCAAAAGAATCATCGATCTTGAGGCCCTTTTCCTTACCGTGATGCCTTTCTCTTTCCTTTCCATGCAGCCAGACCCAATCAGTATGGATCTCGAGGCCCTAGCAGAATCAACCATGTGTCACTCATAACTCGCCATGCCTGGAAAATTCTCCATCCGCATTCCTCATGGAAAGACTCTTTGTTTTCGGGACGGACACCTCCTATCCTCAACGACTCACTACTATACCTCACTCAGTCTCCCTCATCCAGCCGCTCTGTCCTTGTTCATACGCATATAGTAACAAGGAACACAATATACCTACAAGGCTAGTTGGCTCAAGAGCTTGGAAGTTGGAACACACTATACTCACACGGTGAACAACCATTCAAAGAGCGTGGAATGAATTATACTCACAGGCTTGAGCATAAGTTTAAGAGCTAGGAATATACTCAAGAGCATGGACACAATATAACCACAAGGTGGACAATCGAGAAAAGAGAAGGGAACACGCTATACTCACAAGGTTGGCAACAATTTAAGAGCAAGGAACACACTCAAGAGCATGGAGCATACTATAATCACAAATTCAAGAGGTTCACAATCAGAAAAAGAGAAAGGAAAACATCTACTCAAGAGCATGGTCAAGAGATACAGCCGTTGAAGCCACCGCCAGAAAAAAGATTACGGGCCACGACCTATGTCGGTCTCTTGTTACGCATCCTCATATCCTGTCCGCCTATCCACCGGTCTGTCTACCTCTCCGCGTATCCATGTCTTCAGACTTGATCGAGAAGCCCGTGCAGCGGCGAATGCACATGCAATCTCACAAGTGGGCATGCATGTGTCCTGCTCGTCGTTCCAGCTGCATGCACGTTCATCATTCCATCTCCTGAGCTGTGGGTTGAATACAACAATCATACCGCTATTGACGAAGGTCTGAAGTGCATGGATCGACGACGGTCAACGTTCCTATCTTAGCTGATGCCCTCCATATGGCCAACGCTGACATTTAGCAGAAGACCCGCCTGTCAGTAAGCCTCGTCGAATCGCTTAGGGTCGAACGGCCAAAGTATCCCCTAAGCGCAGGGATTCGTGCAGGTCACTCTCAGAAGTCTCTACTAGATCCTCATAGACACGGTCATGGGTCGAATTGTCGCTAATATCAACAAATCGCGCATGAGCTATCTGGTGGTAGATGATGACTGTGTCCGGTTCGACGTCCCCATAGGTACATCACACCGAACCAGATATAATCATCTGCTTGAACTGAAATACCTGGTCCAGACACTGCGTGCGCCGCATATCATTGACTTCTCACAAAGGCTGACCCTTCGGATCGCAGGCTACCGGTTCGAACGCGCACACCTAGCATCCGTTTCCCGACACATCAAGACTTATCCTTTCGACAGATCCGCATTGACCGTTGTTCTCGACCAAAGGGGTGACTGTTGAAAATGGTTGGGCGCAGAACACATGGTCTTAACCAATGTCAAGACGGTAGACAAGGTTTATGGTTCGAAATCGTGGAGGCACAGATGGATCGTCGGTTGACGCAGGCGGTCCCTCCAGGGAGAAGGTTGTGCTGTCCAAGTTTGAAACTGGTGCGGTCAGTCATTACACAGTATGCCGGCAAGTCGACAACGCAAGTCATCTGACATGGACCAGGCACTTGTCGAATATCGTTGCACCAAGATCGTCTCTGGCCGACTCAACCCTCATCATCTTGTCACCACAGCTGATTCCTTGTTTTCCCGGCTGATCGGTCTCCTCATGACGAGGATGAAGCTTCGATCGGCATGCCGAATAGTAAACCACTTCTCTCGATCGTCTTCACCTCCACCCGCTTCGAATCCATCTCTTCCAATTGTCCAAGGTTTCATGTTCGAAAGAGTAAAAGGAGGACATCCTTATCAACTCTGCCCGAGCCACCACCCCCGGTTGAAGAGCATGGTCACATCGTTCACACCCTCAGGGGCTCCGCCTTTGCCGCGGGGACTTGAGGATTTGAATGCGATTATGCTCGGACTACATTGTGCACCTGGCCAGATGCGTACCAATGCCACCGGGCAGGTCATACGTCGAGCGTTACGGGGTGCGAAGGCTCCCAAATGCTTGAGGTTGGTTGAACAGATTCTAAACAGCGTCGACGGCCAAAGGCACACACAAACGTCACCTCTGGAGGGTGAAGAGAGCGGGAAACAATTACCCCGTTCGGTCCTTGGTCCCATCAATTGTTGTGGGATGCGAGAGAAAAGAGTCGAGTTGAAGGATTCAATGTCTGCCTATGTCGTGAAATCTCAAAAAAAAAAATGAATCAATGAAGATCATCGCCACCCACGGAGAATTGTTTCTTTTCTCGTTTTCGTACCTTGATAGACAGTACTGCCTACACCATGAAGTAACAGTATCGAGGAGTGCATCGGCCCTAGATATTTTGTCAGAGTAATGCCACCTCACTCTCTCACTGCAGTAGACTTGTGTGTCTGAGTCCCGTCTGGTTTCGCTCCTCCAAAGGAATTCTCGCAACCGACTCTCTATGATAACTTTGCTGCCGAACAGATGATTTATTAGCTCGAATTCATATTTATTTAGTAATGGACACCAAGATATCTACGCGAGATCCCAGATCATAAGATTGAAAACGGCAAACATCATCAAAATCGTCATCTACAGCACACAAGACAATACACTGTAGCAGACAGACCGGGAGGGCCAAGACGACTCCCTCTCGTTTTCTCACTCTCTCACAAACACACATATTTTACACCATTGGCATCTATGTAGACTTCACTTTTCCAAAGACCTGTTCCTCGGACCATGTACCATCTTCATTTAGACCTTGGATTTCCTCCTCAACGACACCACGTTCGCATCAATCATGGCCTGGACGTTTGGCCCGTCATATTTACGGATCGCGTGTACAAACCACCAGAAGGTAGTCAATACTACGACCCCTATCAGGATGACCGAGTTGTAGTTCATGGATGCTGTCGTTGTCGGTAGCGCGTACTAGAAAGGGTAGGAGGAATGAGTCAGCATGGTTAAGTCCCAAGACGGCGAACCGAGGATCGAGGGGATATGTGTGTGACTGAGTGCGGGTGTGTATTTCACTGAGACAGAGTCAGAGAGAGACACGGAGAGATACAGGGAGGCAGTAGAGGGCAGGCGGTCGCAGGCCTGGCAGATGAGACGACTGTCCGCCTGCAACTCTCGTTCTTTATGTCGAGACTCTTGACCCTCACTTGAGCCATGAGTCTCCTCTAGCCCTCGACGGGTGCGCTGCTGTTCATGACTTCCGGGATGAGGCACCCGTTGAAGCTGTTGCCGGCCTTCTCCACGGCGTGCTGCGGGCATTTGCGATCATCATCATCATCATCATCGCATGTCCCAAGAGGGGTAAAATCATTCATCAGCGAGTAACTGGGAGCGGTGCCGAAGGAGGGACGACGTAGTTGTCTGTCTCTTCAAGAGGCCAGGGGGTGTACCACACTATCCACTTGGTCGTGCTACTATGTGGAAAAAAGAGTACTTACCGGAAAGCAATAAAAGATGTCAAAGATGACGATAAACAGAGTAGCCAGGCCGTTGATCAGGTAACCCCATCGGCCCAAGTGGAAAGGTCCGACAGGCATGTACTTTCGGCCTGTGAACATGTTGGGGCCAAAGGCCAACGCGTACGAGGTACTGCTTAGGATGACAAACGATCCGGCCAGGTCGGTGAAGGCCGTTTTGCTTCCGAGGGTGATTGCGCCGAGGCCGATGGTCAGAATGCCCGTTAGAACGGTAGCTTCGACGGGACAGCTGAGGCGTTCATTGGCGCGGCCGAAGAAGGATGCAAGGGGAGTGGCGTTGTCTCGTGCCAGCGCCCACCACGTACGACCGACGGTCAGGAAGGTACCGATTAGACAAGGCGTGAGGGACAGGAAGATGATGAAGAGGAGGCCAAACGTGGCGGCTCTGCTTCCTGTGGCTTGGTGGTATGCTTCGGCGAGCGGGAAGGATCCATTGCTGTTTTGTACGGCCGAGAGGTCGTTGACGCCATAGAATAGTGCAATGGCGAAGCAGAAGGCGTAGAGGAAACCGAGAGCAATCTGGGCGAATATGGCTTTGGGGAGGTCGTGTTTCGGGTTTGGGAGTTCTTCTGCCATGTGTCTGTTCAGAGAGAGATATTAGTTGATCACCAGGCTGCAACGACATTTAGACAAGAGGGTGACAAACAACAACACGGACACGCACGCGCAGACATATAAGGTGAAAGATGAATCATCTGCCAAAAGAAGGCAAAGAGACATATGAGAGGGCGTGGGGGAAGGAGTTGCCTGAAAGCTTGTGCATACTAGAGTTGTTCGATTCCTCCTTGCCCAGGCCCATTACAACACAATGCAGCGAGGACTTGAAGGAAAAGAAGAGATAGAGACATAAAGCTTGTTTTGCAGCTATCCACGGGCTCTCATGTACTGCTGGTGAAACTTACGTGACTGCATCGGGTGTTCCAATCGTGAAAGCACCATTGAGGACACCGGTGAGGAAGGCGACGCCGCCACTCCAGCCCGTATCATTGGCAAAATCGGTCCACACAAATCCGTTCGAGGCATGGGAGGAAGGCATGGCCGCTAGCACGATGATGGTGATCAGTCCTCCCACCGTGACAACAAAAAGCCCAAAGTGCTGCAGGTAAGGTAGGATGCCGTTGAAAAATATGGTCACCGACACGCAGAGAACCGTGATGCACAGAAGTCCCACAAACAGGTTCCACTGTTGAATGACATAGTCTGGATGGTATAAGAAGTACATTTGCACGCAAAGCTCCGACATGATGTACACTATCGAAGCCAGGTCGAAGAGCCATCCGAAGTAGTTGAGTGCGCCCGCGAAGAAACCGATTGGACGACCCCATTTAGGGCCTGGGGTGATGGAAGCCCAGTGATAGACGCCGCCGGCACTGGGCACTGAAGACGCGAGCTCGGCGATCGAAGCGTTGATGAAGGTGTAGTAGAATGCGGCCACCCAGAGCTCCCAGATGACACCTGGCGGGCCGCCGTTGTCTGGATACTCGTTAGCGTCAGCGACAATTACTACCTTTGTCGAGAACTCGAAATTGCGAGGAGACTGTGCGGTAGTGGTCTCAGGCGGCGATACGCACATATCGATACAGCCAGAGAAGTTCCTAGAGCAACCCATGCATTGTCGACCGTCAAGGCTAAGCCTAGGATGCTGAGGAAGCCGTATTGTCGTTGAAGTTGGTCTGCATGGCCTGAGGCATTGATGATTTGTCCGTTGAGAGTAATGACTACGTCGTCTGCATTGGCGAGATCTCGAAGTGATGATGATTTCTTTCGTTCGCCTTCGGCAACGCCCTCACCCAAAAGAATCCCGTCAGCCATAGTTTAATCCTTGGAGCGAGGATTCATCGGAAGGTGGTTGAAAGACGCTGTTTACCAAAATAGGGATCCATTCAACCGTAGCCGATACAGGCAGATCCGGTCGTGTTGGCAAACAAAAGTCACTGTGAAAGTCGGAAGGGGGGAAGGAGTTCTTTTTGTTTTCAGCGATATCGTTGGACTCTAACGAGTACATCCGGGAAACAAAAAGCTGCATCGCGCATTGGACAGCGAACGAGATAAGCAAAAATGCTTCCGTGACCTACCTAGAATACATGCGGTGTAGTGCCATGCTTGATTGATTGCTTATCGCACAAGCTCCGATCGGAGTCCACAGAGGAGGCGTGGCTTTAAGAGAGTACGGGGTGCAGTATCTCGCGCCTATCTCTTTCTCTGATCAGTCAACATGAATCGTAAGAGGAATTGATGCCTGCACGTGATGTGAAGGGTCGTAGATTAGAAACGTCGTTATCTCCCTCATAGCCAGTGCTGTTGCGTTTTGGTCTTCCCCAGCCCGCCGTTTTTGGTATAGGTCGGGCCGAGTTGACTGTAGGTGTATATCAGAGGACGATAGCATGGAGCAGTGAAGTGAAGGTAACCTGCTAATCGAGAGTAAATAGCACGCGACAGTAGTGTATGACACGTCTAGAGACTACCTCAAGGTACTTACGTTTGTTAGGGAGTGAGAAATTCTTACCTGCGGAGCGAGTTGCGGATAAGATAAGGACTAATCACGTGCTAAGCCTTCCAGTTCAGCCTCGAGGCTTCAGCCTTGTCAGACTCTTCAACCTGTCACACCCAACAGCCACGTGACGCCAAAGACAGGCGCAGGACGCTGAATATCTCGTTACTCCCTTACCTCATAATTTTGGAATCCTCAAGATACTCAACGACAACGATTCCTCCCGCTCGGGACGTCAGAAAGGCTGTCTGCACGACGGCTTCCGCGCGCGACCTGTAGACGTTGAGCTGGGAAAAATTGAGGTCAGTTTGGCAGGAAATCAAGTACGCAATGCACAAACCTTGAGGGCTGGAATCCATCAGGATTAGTAGATCGGATCCCTTTCATCAACAAAGGCACACTTTGCCATTGCATTGTCCTGGTCCTCTATCAATCCCTTCGCCCTCGGCCGGTACTTTGTCAAGGTACGATGCCATTATGTCTTCGACGCATTATGTCCGGGCCGCTTAGACCACCCCTTTGTCCTCGAATTTCTGCCGGAATCTATATAAATCGTTGCAGGTGCTCTCGATCTTAACGGTCCCCCATCAAACACCCACAAAATCTCTGGAAAGGAGCAACGGAAGCGCAACGACTTCCACCGACCACCAAACATGGCTCAATACACTCCCGTTGAATTCCCCTACTATGCGCCTCGGAACGAGTTGCCAGCACCCCTCCCGACGATACACGACATCCAAAATGCCACGGAAATCATCGATGACGGAGGCTGGATCGAACAAAAAGTGGTCGGCATCGGACCTTTTGTCGTCAAGTACGGCGAAGCCGTGAGTCTGGAAGAGGGCCAGAAGATGCAATTTGTCAGAGCCTGTACCACCACGGTGCGAGTGCCGCGAGTCTATGCTCTTTTCAAAGACCCTCTCACCCCCGCCAACTACATCGTCATGGAGAAGATCCAAGGACAGACTCTGCAAACCCTGTGGGCGAGTTTGGATGATGGACGGAAAGACCGAATCTGTCGACAACTCGAGACCAACCTCACCGAGATGCGGGCGTTGCCGTCACCCGGTGGTTACTGTGCCCTAGGCAATCTACCTCTCAATTGTCCCATCTACTGCAAAGTGCGTCCAACCAGTACGGAAGCAGAATTCAACGATGCCTTGGCTGACGCGTGCGTTAGAGATGTTCCTGATCGTCACAATCCCAAAGAGGTATGGTGGACCGAATATATCCGCAGAGCTTTCGCATCCTCCCTTCGAGATCATCCGCCTACATTCAGCCACGGAGATCTGCAGACCAAGAATATCATGGTTAGTCCCGAAGACGACACGGTGACCATCATTGATTGGGAATTGTCCGGTTGGTTTCCTTCTTACTGGGAGTATACCTCAGCTATGATCGGCGCGGCCGGGACCATGTACGAGACCGACTGGTACAAATGGATGGAACGCTTTCTTGTGCCTTATTACAATGAAACGGCTTGGCATTCTCTGGTCTCGACCTGCAAGTACGGCGGCCTTTGAACTGACAAACTAGCTGCGCTTCTGCAACGTGATGGTCTGGTCTATTCTCAATCCCCATGCCCAATCCTTTTCGTTCCGATCCTGAATCCGAACCCCTTTCGACAAATCATGATGCCCAGCCCCTTTCAATCCAGCTCGCATGCCCAGTCCTTTTTGTTGCAATCCTGAAACCGAACCCCTTTCGACAGAATGATGATGCCCAGCCCCTTTCAATCCTAGCCCCCCAGCTCGAATGCTGGTATTCGATCAACCTTGCGCCTAGTGTCTCTGGAACAGGGTTGGACGTCGCGTTCTGTTCTGATACTCCAGTTAGCTTTTGCCCTCATAGACCAAAGAATGACATTTGTTTCTCTCACCTCTGAATACGTCGCTTCCTGTTCTTCACTTGACTCGTTCTTAGTTGTCCTCGCGTAGAAGAATTCCTTGAGCTTCGAGAGCGTTGATGACCTGCATGACCCATTCTGTGTAGTTTCTCAGTGGTTCGCTGGGGTTGGTGCGCTTGGCTCCGAGAAATTGCTTCGCTGGCGGGGGAATTTGGCGACAGATTTGGTCAATCTCAGAGAATTTCATGACGTCAATTGTGCCGACCAGGTGAGATGCGATATGTGTCGGATCATCCTCAGGATTTGTTGGACCAACTTTGCGGTACTCCATGCCCTGCTGAAGGTTGCCTGTGACTTGGAAGGTTTGTCCGTAGTTGTTGTCCATTTGAACAAAGATGGTGTAATAATTCTTGTGGAATCTGAGGAATTCGGCCACGTAGACCTTGTACCTCTTGTTGAGAACCGAAGACATGATTGTATTTGCAGGTGCAAGTAGTAGTAGATGATGCGAGCAAAGTATGCGAGTGGAAGATGGAAGGAAGATGGAAAGGAAAAACGGGCTGTTCCCTCAACTCTTCATGATTAAATATCCTACCCAGGGAATGAATGGACGTTGCCTGGTTTGCTTCATTCTGTTTGTGCCAAAGCAAAGAAGGGGTGTTTATTTGCTGCCGTTGTGCATTCTAGTCAAAGAAATACCCATGAGATCCCCCGCAGAACGATACAAAGCCTTGCTCCGCGCCAATGGTGCCAAACCAAACAAAGAAAAAAAGAGGCTTGCTCCGGGGAGGGGTCACCATGCATCCGGTTCAACGGGGGGGAAATCATCAGTGAGTTGCACGCCGAACGATACAAAGATTGCCCCCCGTGTCGTCGGTGCCTCCACCGCCCGGCGTGGTTTCCGTTGGTTTCCACACTCATCCAAGCAGGCCGGCTGAGATCCAACGAGTTGACCATTGAGCTGAACGAGACAAAGGCCTGCGAATCATCACTCCATCTTCTCTGAGGTCAACAAAAGAATTGTTTGCAGAACAAGAGATCCGGGGAACTTTGCAAATCACCCGCGGCTCGGCCTGGCGCCGGGGTCACCGAGAAGACAAAGGAGGAGGAGGAAGAAGAGGAGCGAGAACAGTAAACAGGACGTGTTGCGGTGATGGCTTGTATTCTGCAAGCTACCCAAGTATGAAGGTGTCACAAAAGGACATGTAGATGTATGTATGCTTTCTCCCACCAGAGGACGGAGTACCATTTCTGGCAACTCTGCCGAGGGCTCAACATCTCTCTCCCTGCATTGTTGTCTCAGCCAACACGAATAAAGGTGATTCCGACGCCAAAGAAAAAGAAGGTGTTGCTGAGAGGTAGAGGATTGATGGTGTTACACGCGAGGAACATTTAGCAGGATGCGATGATGCGGGAAGTAAACATGAGTAACACGCCATCACATGACTTGCAGCCTTGGGCGCAACCCCCCTCGTTAGCAAATCCAGCCTTGTCCCGAGTGCGAAGGTGGCGGCGCAGATATTTTGTCCTTTGACAAAATCTGTACGGGGTACAAATCTTGGGTTTATTTTTTCTTTTTTTGGCGACCTGGAATACACTCGACGATCGTGATGTTGTTTGATTTTGAATAACCTGTGATGGTTGCCCACCACGATCTGACTCGCAAGTTACCTAATAGGTAGGTACCTTGAGTGGTAACGACCCCTCCAGAGACGAGACTAGGTACTTGTGTGGTTGCTTCCGTTACGAAAAGCACGATGGGTACTCCGTAGCAACTGTAGTATCGTGCGTATTGTGCGTATTGTGCTTGAAACCCCTCGGGGACTCGAGAAACCCTCTCCCGATAGTATTAAACATGACATATACACAACGCCGAGAAATCAACACTCACTACCCAATGTGTTTGATTAATCTCAATGGACCCAAGTCATCGGCACAAGTCCATAACTCTCACAGGTAGTTTCTACAAACCATCCCACCTATCGAGAGACTGATGTAACAAGAACAGACGAGTCGACAAGTCATCCCCCATGTTCGTACTTTAAACACTAGGTGCAACAAATTCTTCTTGGTCTCAAAGTGAGATGATGGTCAAGTAATAGGTATCAAAATCTATCCATCTAGCTAGGTGCGTACCTGTAAGTTCCTACTATTGCATTGTATGTCACACCACCCAAATGTTTCTACCCAATACACCTCCGCAGTAAGTAGTAATGCGAGGGCTAAGATTTTCTTGGATAGATAAGAGAATCAAATTCTGAATAGGGATCTATCTATACAGAGATCTCATGGAACGAAAGGGTTGTCGATGTCGTTGTCTCAGGATCTCATGTTGTGTCATTTGGCGGGTTCAGGTGTTGCAAGATATCGCAGGCGCGCAGCGCAGCGCAGCCAGCCACGCTAGAAAGGTTTTGGTGCTTTCTTTTACCCTTCTTCCAAACGGCCAGATACATCGAAACCACATCCACATCCACAGCCACGACCCAAAAACTGCACCGCACTGCAATGCACTTCTAATCCATTGGCCAGTCGTCTGTACGTCCAACCGGCCATTTTCGCAGCAGAATCATTCATCACATTCATTCAATTGACCAGAGTGCCTTGGGTACTTCGTCGCGAATTGCTTCGGTCGAGCTGTTGGTGCCCCTGTCGTTGGTGCAGGCCAAAACACTGTTGATTGGAGATTGGGCAGTATCCATGAACGAGTGCCATGGGTGTTGTCGTCGTGCTGGATCGGTCCGTGGATGGTAGAGGCAAGGAAAACCGAAAAAGACATGGTCGGCTTTCCGGGATGTCGCAGTTGTCGAGTTTGGCACCTGCGCCCTTGTTTTGAATGTACCGCCGCCGTCGCCGCCGCCGAGCGTTCAACCAACAGTGCAATGATGCGACTGAACGAAGCGTTGTGATTTCCAACAAAAGGTTCTCCCATCTCCTCCTTCTGTTGGGAAAAAAGAGAAAGAGGAAGAAAGTGACACACTCACTCGGCCTTGACCCTGGGAACAAACTTCTTGTCCAACACGGGCTGGATCAAGGCGGCAATCCATTCATAAGTGGTGAACAAGATGCCGCCGGCCAGCACGGTCCGGCCGAGTCTCATGGTGCTGCCCCTCCACAGGCCTCTGACGCCGTAGTCGTCGACGACGCTCTTCAGGGCCTCGGCGACGCCCGCGCCCTTGACACTCTGGGCACGCGTCTTGAGCGTGTCAAAGGGCTGCGTGACGAAGACGACGACGGTGCCGGCGACGGCGCCATTGGCGAACGTGGTGGCCGTGGTCTGCTCGATGTTGCGCAACCTCTCAAAGTCCTTGAGGATGTTGTACGTGCCCAGCCGCACGGCCGTGGTGCTCGCCTGTTTGAGTGTCGTGGTGACGTACCCGCGGTACAGGGCGGTCCGCAAGCCGTGCTCGGCGATGAGGGTGCGTGTGGCATGCAGCGGCGACGTGAACCGCCGGTCGTGGCGCGCGTCGTCGATCAGCGCCGTCTTGATGCGCTCCGTCGGCGTGACGGCGAAGGTGCTCGCCACCACGCCCGCAGAGATGCCCGCCATCAGGTTGCGCAGCGGCGAGAGCGTGCCGGTCTCGGGGTCCTTGAAGGCACTCTTGATGCTGTCGAACGAGATGAACCGGATGGCGTCCTTGAGCACCGTGCCCGCCACGAGCGTCTCGCATCCCTTGTACAGCGACCGCGGGCCTTCCTTTTCGATCACCGCCTTGATCACGCGGAAGGGGTTGCGCGTCGGGCTGTCTTCGTGTAATTGGACCCGAGTTTTGGCGAACTCGAACGCTGCAATGAAGACAAAGAGTCAGTCATGCAGCATACATGCACATGGACGTTGGCGATGTTGACCGAGAAATCAAGATCGGCAACGAGGTGAGAGGTGAATCGCGGCGGTTGCGACTTACGATATGTGATTGTCGCCTCGACACCACCGGCGGCTCCTCCAGCTATCAGAGAAACGAGCGGTGTCTTTTCAGAACCCTGTAGTAGCAACGACGACAAAACGAGAAAATGTCAGCCAAAGTCGTTTCTTTTTTTGATCTTTGAAATGATCCGTAGAGGGGAAGATAAAGCCGGGAAATATCCGTCGATTTGCTACTTGTCTGAAAGACATACCTCGCTGGAGACCATGATGCTTCGTGCGCAGACTCGACACTGTTTCCCCGTCCACCACGGGGCAGGAAAAACGCTCGCAGAGTCTGGTCGTGAGGATTCGCGATCAAACAGAAACCTCTTGTTGTGGAATGGAGTGTAAGAGAAACAACAGGAAATGGTACAAGTACGGAAATAACAACAAAATTGGTCTAGAATTGTTCGAAATGACAAAGGTACCTAGGTAAAAATTAGGTGGTCAGGTACCCAACCGTTTATTGTATCAGGCGTTTGGGGGATGGAGATAATGGATAATACTCGGCCAGATGGAGCCCCCGATGTCGCTTGGTAGAGACCGGGGCCTCTCAGAAGTATTACTGTAAGTAAATCGCCACTCAACGGTTGTGGTATTTCGGGGGAGGGTATTACGAGACGAGGGCACGGAGTTATCAATCGCCCATCATTATTGCAGATGGCTACAAGTTGCGAAGTATGTATTTACCTCGGATATTCTCGGCTCAAAGAACGATTCCCTCTTCGTGGGTTAATTACAATTATGTACATACGGATCCTTCCGTCAACGAAATGAACTTTTTTTGCTTCAGCCTTGTTCGGCGGTGGCCAGGAAAAACGAAATCGGGGTTTACGCTCCAGTACGACAATGAGGCTTATCACTCGGGTATGTAATCAGGTACGGAGGGGGGAGGTTACGGAGTAGTAGGAGTAGTAGTAGTAGTACACTAGATGAGAAAAGATGGCAAAGTTTCTCGAAAGCGATACAACTCTCCTTCTCTCTCTCCCCCGTCCGCCGATTCATCACTTGCTTTGGACCCCCAAAGGAACCCCCCCCCCCGATCGGAGGTTTGAAGGAATTAATTCCTTTGTACTACTAGTAGTACGGAGTACTCCGTAGACCCTACATACTGTACTCCGTAGGTACATTACAATTTTGCCTCGTCCGCGTGCAAGTATTGAAGGAGTTTCACCCTTGATTATCGTTTTCTTTTGTTTGGAACAGGTGGATTGGTTTTTGCTTTTCCCATCACCTGTGTGTGACATTGGTTAGACGAGGGCCAGGCAATGGGATTCCTTTCGCAGCAGCGAAATCCGACCTTTTCCAGACTCTCTCTACCTCTGGTAACTTGTCCACCTGATTTTCCAGGTTTGACACAAAACAAAGCCCTACAACCACCTCATTCTTGTACTCCGCACGATGACAACCTCACTCGATTCTTGTTCTGTTTTCACGAGGGTTCGATGATGAATCTGCATGAGGAATGATTGCAGAGTGTAATAAACTCGGCGCAAGTATCATCGGTAAGATTCTATAGAGACCAGGAGAATGAAGGTAACCCCAAAAAAGGGCAAAAGGGCAAAAGGGCAAAAGGGGAGAGAGACAATCGAAACACCCGTCATGGATGGAATACTCACCAACCGACCGATTCTCCCACAACTCCATAATACTTGGTATTATGATCATGTCGGGCAAGATATGTTGTTCAAAGTTGTCAACATTTTCAATCAATCCATCAGTGGCTTGATCATCAGGAGTAGATACACCGATTTACAATTAACCTCCCTGTTTCCAAGAACCCCCCTCCTGGCAAGGTTGCCTGCCCCTTTGAAGCAAATCATTCGGCAATCGTATCAACTCTTTTTCTCCAGAACTTCGTCCCATATTCCTTCGGATTCCAAAGTTAGACCCATCTCGACAATCCAACGTGGCCGCGGTCTTGGGTTGACCTCACCATTAGATCTGCACATTAAAAACAAAAAAGAATTCCAAGGCATTGAAAGAAAAATAGGAAAACTACCTTCTGGCAAAGGTGGACGGAGAGGTTGTGTATTCTCGCGATGTTCATTATCACTCCGTGCTCCGTACTCCGTACTTCTTCCTCCAATAGAGAATCCACCATGAAACGAAGAACCGACCAAAACGCCGTCAAGCCAGCCCACCCAGCCAGCGATAGCCACATTACTGCATCGCGATTACCTGGCAACGCTAGGCCAAAAACATTTCCCGAAACCTTTTGGCGCCAATCGTAGAGGGTTGTTTCCTTTCATAATTTATGTTGTTCTGTGCGTGTGCATGTGTGGGTATCAATCGATATGTCGGTGACAACATGGAGAGTAAAAGAGCAGCCGAGTCCCTCCCTTTGGTGTGAGGTTGAGGGCGCGCCCTCAGTACGTAGGTGGACGATGTGCATGGTGTGTGCGTAATATGTACTGTGATGGAGCTAGGAATTCTCCAGCATGTCATGACCCGAATCATTGCTGCGGTTCTTGCGATAGCCGTGGCTTCTTTGCAGGATGGTCTGCCTCATCGCGTTCCTGTAGCTGCCTTTCCAACTCTTCTACTTTTCGTTTCAGGTCATCCCGCTCTCGAACGGCACTGTCGCGCTCGCGACGCAGATTGTTCTCGTTGTCCGAGTAGAAGCCATTGATGACTTCTAGCTCCGACACGCGCGTGCGCAGGTTGGTGTTGACGGCGACGAGTTGTTCGTAAGTCATCGACTCGGAGCGGTCCGCGGTCAATGCAGCTGCGCTGGGGGACGGTTGGCTGAGTGAGTGGACGCCGGGGAGAATAGGGGATGCATTGCTGTGGTCGGCCGCAGCAGAGGCGCCATCGAACATGTGCTGAGGAGCAATGTTGGGGTCGTGCTGAGCTCCTGGTGTACCTGTCCGTGAGACGGGGGAGTGTGATCGGTCCGAAGGTGCAGTTGTGGCCATCTGTGAGACACGGCGGTGTAGACTGAAGCCATTGGGGGCGGATACTTCAGTGATGGGCGCAGAGGCACCATTTTCGTACTGCTTGAGGTCAGTCTATCCGATACGGAGTCTCTTTATTTTCTTGGGGGGAAAGCAGCTTGGCGCACCTTCTTCTTGGGCAGCGCAGTGGTCGTCTTGACCCTGTTGCGACTCTTGATTACATCCGTCTTCAGACTGATTGGACGGGGACGGCCGTGCAACTTGAGGAAAAGTCCGCAGGCATTGCACAGGACCGAACCGGCTTCGTCGCGTCGCCATAGAGGAGTGGTGGAAGTCTGGCAGTTCTGACATACTGGCTGTGAAAAGGGGAGAGTCTGGTCAGCACTGGGTAATGAGGCAGCCATGGTCGGTGGTGAGGACGGGAGATGGGAAAATCGAAAGTTTGTTATCGAAGGCAGAGACGATAAGATAAAGATAAGAGAATTCAAACTTGGTGGTGGTGCTGAATGTAACCAAAAACGAAATCAAGCGAAAAAGACCCGATCGACGGCCGAAATAGGCTTGGCGCCATTTTGCACGGTGGCAGGTAAATCAAGAGGGGAAAGAAAAGAGGTCGAGTTTCTCTTACCGGTGCGCTTCCTGCCATCCCTGCAATTCCTGGTGTTGGCACCGGGGGCATCAGGCCATAATGAGCCAGTGGTGATCCATGACTGCCCGAGAATGACCTGTATGGAATATCAACACATTATTTCTGCCCAACGTTTTGAGGGTGTCCTGCATACCTCAACGGTGGCCCATTTGCCAGCGATGTCAGTGACGAAAGCCCAGGTAGATTCGGCCGTGGCTCTGAATGGTAGCCTCGTCCCAGACTCAGACTGGCGCTGCGTGTGTGGAATTGAGGATCGTGTAGGAAGAGGTGGCTCGAATTCGGTAGTGTCGTGGACGATGGTCGTGAGATGTCCTTCCCGTAATAAGCAGACTGCGGCAGAGGCGAATGTGGCCTTTCCCCTTCTCTTCTACTCGTGCTGCTGTACTCGTCCAATCCTGCTTCCTTCAATGGTGTCGATGGCGGTCGGTAGGTAGAATCGATGGCAGAGGCTCGAAAGAGCGGCGGTGCAACTGCGGAAGCCGTGTTGGGCGATGGTTTAAAAGACCAGTACCGTGGTCTCGTCGGGGTGAACCAAATGAGTGGACGCCTCTTGTATCAGAGGCAAAAAAAGAAAGAAAAAAGAGGATCGGTGGTTGTGTGCGTCAAGGAAACCAAACAGAAGCCAAAAGAGTGAGAATGTGTACAGAAGTGCCAACAAGCCAACCAAAAAAAAAGAGTGTGTATGTACGGAGTACTGTATGAATGAAACAACGAACGTGATGAATAGATGAATGAATGTATCGATAATATGAAAAGACAATCGATACCTCGATACGAGGGGAGCCTTGAGGCTTTTGCTGTTACCCAATCCAATTCCAGAGTCAAAGGGGCCTGTCCTTGTGAGCAGCACGATACAATATTGGACTCCGCCCGTCAGCCTAACAGCTGAGTGTCTAATTGCGTCTTGTCCGAGCTTGGACGCGTCTGTTGAGATGAGGTTTGTGCGGATACTGGGTGACAATCATAGATTGATGTTAATTTGTAGCTGCTAGAATCGGTGTACTCCATCTGCAAAGTAAGGAGGTTAGAATCCCTAATGCAGGGAGTACACGCGCGTTGAAAAGATTTTTTTACACTCCCCAGTAGAGCGCCCACTGGATCATACTGTACGCCAGTTGTACCTCGAATCCAGCAATTGTCCACGCGTTGATTCGGTGGTTGAGGTAAATCTGGGGAAGTAAAAGAGATTGTCCAATCTCACGGTGGAGGTCCGAATTCCGACGCGCCCCCTTTTTTCTACCACGGCGGTTATTACGGACGTCTGACCTGTAACCAAGATTAGAAGAGAACGGCTTCACCCGCCCGCAGTCAAAGGACGGAGTGTGTTATCTTGTTATCTGGGAATTGGTTTGACAGCAACGACACCAGCTGCAAATCTACCAGACCGTCATGACACGTCGTGCGATGGGATTGCTTCCATACCACGTCCATATAAACGTGTCGATAGAACAGCAGATGTGACAGCTGTCATCATCTTTATCCGTTTTCGCTTATTTCGAGATCGTCTGCCTCTCTGCACTTGGCACAACCGTGCGTCGAAACTGACATACAAGTATTTTGTATAACCGCCGACCGTTTGAAGTCATGATGATTGTTCATTATACTGAGAAATGGTGCACAGAGCACCGAGATTGAGTAAAACGGCCTCTCCCCGTAGCTGAGAAGAGATACAGCCACTTCATATCAGCAACACGGGCCTCGGCCGTCAACTTAATGGGCAACCGAGACTACATATCAATGCACTACCAAGAAAGACGCCTTCGGAACATCCTTGACATGTGTGCTGCTATTTGGCACATTCCATCGCGGATGGGCTTGATTGACCATCCAACAGCAAGTAGCTGATCCAGCTCATATGGATCCTTGCAACAGTTGAGCTCGCAACAACAACATCTCTCCATAATTATCGGCAATGGACAAGTCAAGATCGAGGTCAGGCGCAGTTCGACGACTTTGGAGACACATGTTCGGTAGTCCAAGCCATGCAACGATCTGCCTGGAATTGTTCCTTGCGTTGACATCGGGCTTTGCAGCGTATTGCTACAGAGTGTAGCAGCGATTTCCATTCCTCACGCTGCTAGCAGAATGAACAGCTGTATCACTATCTCTTACCTGAAGCACGCGTTGAGGGCAAAGGGAAGAATCTTTCTCCGATGTTAGTCCCAGCGTGCTTAATAAGCAGAACACCATACGGAGTACATGTGTCGAATTCTTTCCTAGGACTACGAGGTTCAAAGCAGTCTTGCCGCCAACATACACTTTATTGATATCTAGGGGGAACAGCACAAAGTATAGGCAGATCTCAGGACATTCGATGCCATATTCCACCCCTACACATGATTGCCCTCTCACCGAACTTCCATTAGCCATATAGCTACCTACCACTTCGGGGCGGAATTGGATTTTGTCACGACTATGCGTTTGAAATGATAGAATTCAGTACGAAGGAGGGCTAAAACTAGGTGTTAAGGCCGCAGCGCAGTGTTATGTGATGTGCTCGCAGGCTGAGGCACTTCCCGAATAGGACTAGTGTAACAAATAAACAGCACTAGTCACATGATCAGGATCCTGACAGAATTCTGGATCACATCACAACGACTTTGTCCTTCAGGAGAGAGAATCAGAGCAGTTCACAACGTTATGGTGTCTTTCTACGCGACCCAGGCTCATGCTCGGGTATCTTAGAAGCACAAGGCGCCACCATCAACTCTTAGATCTGACCCGGTGATATATCTGCCGGCTCTTCTGCTGCTCAGAAGAACAACTGGACCAGTAATCTCCTCAATGTCTCCCATACGGCCCATAGGGCAACGACTGGCCCAGACGTCCCTGATCGGCTGCAGAGTGTCGCCCGCGTTGAGTACCGTGTCCATATAACCGGGAGAGATGGAATTTACACGAATACCGTGTACTGCCCATTCAGCTGCCAGGTTCTTTCCCATAGTAGTCACGGCGCTCTTGCTGACATTATAGGCTAACTGGGGTTGAGGATAGTTTGTTGAATGAGCCGATATCGATGCCGTAAACAGGATAGAGCCCCCCTTCTTGCCATCGATCATGTGTTTGGCAGCAGCTTGGGCGCATAGGAAAGACCCCGTCAAGTTGACGTCAACGACTTTGCGGAATTGGCTGGCCGTTGCCAATATCGAGTGAACGCAACCAACGATACCGGCAAAACAGCACAAGACATCGATACTTCCCATCAAATCCCGAGCTTCTTGGAATGCCTTCTCCACGGCGGTTTCCGAGGTAACATCCACGTGGACTGCATGGATTGGGATTGTGGGAAACTCCAGCTTGAGGTCGGAGATGGCATTCGCAGAGTTGTCAATCGTTGGTTGGAGGTCCATCAAAGTCAAACTGCTTGCCCCATGCTCCAGGAGCGCTCGAGCAGAGGCCAACGCCAGCGTGCCGGCGCCACCGGTAAAAATGGCATTGCCCTCGATCTTGAAGCGAGCTGCCGCCCTCTCGGCCGGAGACGCTTCTGACGCTACCGGTGGTAAAGGCGCAGTCAGAGGACTGTCGGATACCGATAGAGTCATGGTCGGAATGACCCTGGAAGTCAGAGACGCCCTCTCATCTTGGGAGGCTACCGGCACTGCCGAAGGGGTAGAATTGTCGCCCATGGCGAAATCGGTCTGTTGGAAGGATGGTTCACTTGTGGTGTTTGTGTGTCCAGATTGTCGGAGAGAACCCTTTGGTCAGTGAAGGCCCGGCGAGAATGTATGTTAGATAGGACGTGGAATGCGGCACTTGAAAACTAAGAAACAACAATGGGCATCTTTAAATAAGAATTATGTTGCATATGGGAGGCGAGAAAAGTGGACCGAAGATAGAGGCATCGGAGCACAGAGGCCCGATAGATGTCACTGTTCAGAGAGTTGATTGCATCATTAGCAACGAGACAACACTGTCCCTATGCGCAGAAGACACTGGAAGTGTTGGCAGTTCAATCAGACCAGGACACCGCGATGAATTGTCTGGGTCAGGATGAGGTCCATAGCGTAAACGACACGTAGAGATTGTTGTACTCCCAGAGGGACAATTCGGCGGTGGTGCTCTCCTCGGGAAACCTTCCGCTCGGCGAAGGATGCCCCGGAGCCCGGAATTAAGTAGATCCCCCCCGCATACTCTAAATTTTTCAGTGAGAAAATCACATGTGACTTAGCACTTGTACTGTGATTTTTTTTGGGTCGAGACTGCGGCTTTCTGCTACCATCCAGCAGCCAACTATTACTACCCGACGATAGAATCCGGTCGGTCCTGGATCAACGGCAGCAGCCATGTCAACAGTAAACGCCATCGCTCCCCAGGCAGTAGCGCAGCTTGATCTCTCGAAACTTTCCTCGCAGATCGATCTGCTCGTCGCCCTCCACCTTTGGTCGTGGCCTGCACTGACTTTGGCTATTCAGAATGCCTGGGGCGGGTCAGCGCAAGTCTCCAACGACAAAAGAGACTGGATGGCGGGTGCTGTGTCCGAGCTCTTGACCTCTACTCCTCCGCAACTCGCAGATGTGGGTGATTTGGAGGAAGTCCTTCTCCAAGTCATGCTCGACGAGTTCGAAATTGTCGTTGATGACGGGACTGCCGAAGATGTAGCACGTAGCATCTGGTCTGGCGCCACCAAGCTCCGAAATGGTGACCTTGCAGAGCTGAACGAACTATACGTCAAGTGGCAAGAAAAACAGCAGAAGGGCGGTGACAGGGTTGTTGCCGTGGTACGAGGCGAAGACAAAGATCAGGACACTGATTGGGACGAGGACGATGAAGAGGAAGAGGAATGGAATGGATTCGCAGACAGCCCAGATGTCGACATGGACGAGGCTCCCCCTCTGAATGGTGCCAGAATGCCGAAACAAAAGATGGAACCCGAGGTCGATGAAGATGGATTCACCAAGGTCGTCGGCAAGAAGAAGAGATGATGAGTTGGCTCACTTTTCGGCCATATTTTGAACAGTGAGCAACTAATCTACGTCCTCTGGGAATACCTTGCCGTATTCTGTGACGTGCGGTGCAAGAATCCGGAATACTCCTCTTGGGTGGCTACCACTCACGGCGCACCCAAAACGATATCATGTCACGCTCGATCGTCCTGCCGGCTCTCTATCAGGCCAAGGCTCTCATCTTCAGCCCTTCGGTCCTTTGACCACACTCTGACGGCACAGTGACACCCTCATCTTCCTCTTCTACTCGCCTTGTTCCGTGTCCTTGTGTGCACAGTAGTCGGCTTGTGCTAGGTAGGAGAACATACCGTGTACAAAAACTGTGATGAGTAGGATGCCGGTGATTGGATGAACTGACGCTTCATTCCCACGGGCACCAAAATCAAACCAAATCATCTACTTTGACATGCTCGTCAGCACCGTTGAGTGTGCAAAGCAAGGGTGGTGCCTTTTTTTGGCCAGAAGTGAAGGCATCAGGATCTGGTCAATTGTTACCTTTCTGATCGATGACTCTTTCAAAGAGAAAGATAATGTCGGGAACACAAGGACGACCAGTTGAAGGACTCCTGGTTGAAGTGAGAAGCTTTGCGAAGAAGCACCCTCACAAGAAATCATGATAGTACTCATAGATGTGCCCCGCCGGGCCTGCCTTCATTTGGTGGCGACTGAGAGAGGCACATTGCGAACGAACATAAGGGGTCAGGACAGACCATTTTTCGGTGTGTTTATGAAATTCTTCCGGTAGAGAGAGCCCATAGTGGATTTGGGGGGACTTTACAATAATTATACAGCAAGACATGGGAGATTTTCCCTTCCTGGCTTTCCTTGCCTTGGGGTAGTAAGTCCGAGCATGGACTATGTTATACCTGGGTATCTAGTATTCATGTCGATGCGGTACCGGGTCAAAGCAGACAGACATGACTTCGAGAATGTCCAATCACACTCGGCACTACAGCATTGAACTTTGAAAAGTCGGCGGCCGGCCCGTCGGTGAGCGAGGCATCTTGAGATAGATACAGTGGAGGAGCGTGTTCTGGCACCACTGTTACGACTCTGGCCAGATTGAATCATCAGGATCCCACAACACTTACCTATGGTCCCATTGACAGAGATTCGGGTACGAGTCACCGCAGTCGGAGTTGAAGAGAAGTTTTAGTGTGCTAGATTTTACATACCAAGCATCATATCAAGCGATTAGAAACTAGGCATGTGGACGGACACTTGAGGACAGACTCTCTCATCCCTCAGACCAAACCTCGGTCAAGGTTATGAAAAAAGATCTGCCACATCTGGTCGGAGGGTCTTCTCGTTTCCACCTTCCATTCAATCTGGTAGCCCTCCCCTTCATCATGCAAGGGCGCCAATGTATTTCGAACAATCCGTCCGGTCCCTCGGCTAGCCGCACGATGAATTCCGCGACCTACACATCATACCCCATTTCACACGGATCCGTTGGACCCCCGACTTTCATCTCTCTCTCTCCCACACACACATAAATTGGTCCTTTTCAAGCAACCTCTTGCTGCTTGACGGCCTTCTCGTCATGTTCATTCTCACTTGATTCTCCATGGGCCACGTCAGAAGCCTGTTGGTGGCGGAGATCCCGGTGAGTCACTTCCGCCATGTCCGCATCGTGCTCGACATTCAGATTGCGCCCTCTCTTCTCGGGCCCCACGAAAGTGATGATGATCAGATAGGCATACACGCAGCCCATGAATATGCAAATGACCTTCCCGTAGTTGTATCGCTTGATCGTCTTGCCGTCCTTAATGATCGGGTCAAGAGGGAAACGTTCGCCGATCGTCGACTCGATCGTCGATGACGCCGACGAGGCAAGATTGCCAAGCTGATACGAAGTTCCCACGACGAAGGTGCGCAAGGATCCGGGCGACAATTCCATCAGGTGAATTGGGATCACACCCCACGCACCCTGGACGCAGAACTGCTCGAAGAATGCGGCAGCCATGATCGCTTTCGACGACGTGAACGTGTATGGATACAAGAGCGCACCTCCAACGACGCAGACGACGATGATGCTGAGTCGTCGGCCAAATATCTGCGAACAGTATCCCACCACAGTGCCACCGGTCATGGCTCCGAGATTGGCGACAACCATGGTGACCGTCGTGGCATCCGCGGAGAATTTGAATTGATTTCCGAGCATGGTCGGGTAGAGATCTTGACTGCCGTGGCTCGAGAAGTTCATCCCGCTCATGAGAAGGACCAGGTAGACAAGTAGCAGCCAGTGGCGTTTGAGGGCGACTCGACCTTCGGATATAAAAGTGCCAGCGAGGCTACCCTGCTGGTGGCGGATCGCTTGGCGAGCGCGGAATGTGTTGGTTTCAGGCAGACACAAACGGAAAAGGATTATGAGGATGGGCGGACATGCACCGAACCAAAAGAGGGGCCTCCAGCCGTGGGAAGTGGTGTTTACAAGTGCGCGGGCGAAGGCTGCGGCGAGGAGGTAGCCGAACGCGTAGCCCTGCTGCAGCATGCCAGAAATGATACCACGAGCAGCGTCAGGACAATCCTCCAGTGCTGTAGCTGCGGCATTTCCGTACAGACCCCCCATTGCTATGCCAAACAAGGCCCGGACCGCCAAAAACTGGCCATACGTCTGGGTGAAGCCAGTACCGAGCTCCAGGGCGACAAACAGAACATTGTTGATTATGAATGGCCTGTGTCACATACATGTGAGGTTAGTGAATGATTTCCACAGCAAAAGGATTTTTTACTTGACTCTTACCATTTGCGGCCATATCGATCGGCGGCGATACCAAAAATGGCCGACCCGAGGGACCGGAACATCAGGACCAAAGTAATGCCCCAGGTGATGTCAAGGTTGGATTTATCAAAGGTTTCGGCAAGATCTGATACTGTCAAAGAGACGGTGAAGAAGTCAAACGCATCCCACGACCAGGCGAAAAAGGCCACCAAGAAAAATAGCCACTGCTGAGTGTTGAGCATCGCCAGGAGCTTGAAAGGATTCGGGGCCTTGGCCATCGGTGGCTTCAGGGTGGTGAATCGAGTGGCTGCATATCTGCCAATAGACATGTGCTCTTGTGGCGATTCCTCAGATTCGTAGCGTTGGTCCCCTCGCATTTTACTGTCGTAGGGCGGGTTTGCGCCAGGCTGGATGTCAACGTTGGCCATTGTGAGAATAGTCCGTGTGATACAGCGGGCACCGGCAACAAGACCTCAACTGAGCGAAGAATTTATGACCTCGTCTGCAGATTTGGAGACGAGTCGAAGCGGTAGACGGTGGAATCGAACGCGGGACAAGTCAGGCTTTTAAGGGCGATTTGAAAATGGAGGGTGATCAGAAGAGCAGGGATATTCAGTGCCCTCGTGTCTTCTGGCGGCAAATGCAGTAGCCGTGATGGAGTGACCATGGTGGTGTGTTCCAGGGAATCGCACACGATAAAAGCATTGGTCGGTGCTGGTGTCGGCTTCTGAATGTGACATGCGACTCTGGAGAAGGCCCTCTTCGGTAGGCCAGATTGAGGGAGGCTGCGGGGGTGCAAGGCAAGGATCTGTATACAACAACGAATGACAGCACACCGACGGGCGGCCGGACCATGATCAAGAGGTAACATTGCGGCGATCATCCCGTCGACGGTGGCGCTACATTTTCGGAGCATACAGGAATCTCTTTCGACGTTGTTTATCGTGCTTGCATACTCTTGTGCAAGGCCCGACGAGAACGAGTCGGAATAGCCCAGGTCCTCAGTGGAACAGAACAGCGAACATTCTCTTGAGCTTCCATGGCATTGCTGAGTTCGGAGAGTCAATGCGAGTTGATGGAATTCTGTTGAGGAGATTGATGGTCCAAGCCTGACCGGCGAGGTCGGTGATCGATACCGCTGGGCCCTTGCTCCCTCCTTGGCTACACTTGGCCTGCGTGAGTGGCTTGACAAGTACCAGTAAGAAGGCGACACAGGTATGCCTTTAAGACCAGGGAGCCTAGGCATCAACCTATCACTGACCTTTGACGGCGGTGGGTTCAAGCTTAGGCGTGCTTGGAGCCCGAACAAGATCAACGCAAGCCTCCACAAGCATTTCCCACCTAACTCAAGGCCCAGGAATCCTCTGCCGGGGGTTTCAGAGCTTAAGCAAACACACCACAAACCAGGTTTCCTGCATATACCTGTGGCTTACCTTGATACCTCGCCATATTTCAAGTCTAGGGGAGCCCGGATCATTCCATATTGTCCCGCATCTCATCAACTGTTGAGGAAGATTGCGCGCAGCAATTAAGGCGTGATTCTCAACAGTCGACACACACATATACACATCTTGGCGTTGGCCGAAGTCCCCAGCAGGGGGGATCTCCTCTTCTCAGATGGAGCGAGACACCACTCATATCGCGGAGAGGTTGCGAGACTTATCTCGACTTATAGGCGCCGACACAGGTCTCGCAAACAAGCTTCATTTTGTGTCCACTGGGAAATTTTGAGTTGAAAAGTTCTCGGTTCTAAGCAGATTGGGCACCACACCACAATCGCTACCAGACGTTCAGGAGTCGAGTCGGGTTAGACTCGAAGTCTGTCCGTTGGCTTTTTCTGGATTCACAATAAGACCCTCGAGGCATATGTTGACTTCGACCTTATTCTTAAAGGCTTTGTCACCACCATGACTTTAGTCGGAGGAGTCTGGTCGGTAAGGATTCTCACACTGTGTCTCGTGGAAGCTTCATCTGAAGGTGCCGAGGAAGCGTTACCGATTGGCTTGAGAAATGGTGAGTGGGTTGAGGCCTTTCAGTCGCAAGTCTGGTACGTAGTAAGTGATGAGAAACCGTGATGGGTTGTGAGAACCTACACAGAAAAAATAAAAAATTCTGCCATCTCTTGAGCATGTTGTACCAGTCGTTGGAATACATATCTCGTTGACATTCCCAGAGCTACTCAGCTCACAGGCCACATTCCCAGTTCAACTGCACTACGATCGACGACATGACTGTAAAAGCCTTCTTAGTAGAGCAGTTTCCCAAACTCGTCGCACGCCTGAGAAGGACAAGATCTGACGAAAATGAAGCCAGGGAGACGACCAAGCATAATACCACCTCAGAGAGTGTGACGTGCGCTGATAACCAAATGGCACCGTTTGTTGTTGGCTTGCTCGGAGACTTCAAGCGCAACAAGGGCGGATCGAGATTCAACGAGGTTCTTGAGTCGCAGAAACCATGCAGCTCAAACAGCACGAGATCACACATAGTGTTTTCCGAGCTGCCTAGCCGTCGGTCCTCGATGGAAGCAAAGAGGACGTCGACCCGACCACCGACACCCTACCCTCAGAATGAGGAGCGCCAGGTCGACAAGGACCCACAATGAGATCCTGCCAGAACCTGCGCCTGCGCTTGCATTGCGCAGAGCGAATCAGATTGACTACAGGCTCCTGCTAGACCAGATCCGAACTATTGTCACTGAAGAGGAAGGGGCCCCCTGGCAAAAGGTTCTGGTTAAATTTCGATCACCGCCTGCGTCTTCTTCCATTTCCTTCCCACGTTCCATCCACTCCTTTCTGTGCAACCACCAGCTGCAATTCTCTGGCAGCATGGATTGGGACGGCCATCAACGGGCTGTGGCCGAGGTCCTGGCCACCATGCAACAGGCGGTCGTCGGCGTTCTCGTCGACACCCACTTTATCCTCCACGGCAAACACATTGCCATCATGTCGCTGGCGGAGGGCACCGGCCAGCAAGACGGGTACGTTGAGCAGTACCGGAAACTTGCCATGAACATCGAAAAGCTCGATGCAACCGTCCTTGCTCTTCACGAGCACCTGCTTGTCCATCTCCCCGTCTCTTCCAGACAACGTCCTCGGCAAGACCAAGCAAGCATGGACGAACATTTTCTGGTCTTGATGACTGAGAAGGTTGGAGACAGCCTTCCCAAGTTGGCGGCCGACCTGGACAGCTGGTTCCATGACTTCGCTGAAGTCACAACAAAACAATTGGCAATCACGGTCCGTTGGAAACTTGCTCTCGGGTGGAAGTTTGATTCCAAGCGGTTTATTCTCAAGATGAGGGCAAAAGGTTTACGAAAACGCATCTTTGAAACCACAGGAGTATTGGAAGACCTATTGGTGAAGGATAGAAATCGTCGACACCACCTTGCCTCCGCAGGCTATCCAGAGGGTTCTTTACCAAATCTTTCCCAGCCAAATGGTCCCCTACCAAATGATCTCCTACCAAACGGTCCTCTACTGAACAGTTCTCTGCCACATGGTCGCCTGCCAGATGGTCGCCTATCAGATGCTGCTCTACCATACAGTCCTCTACCACAGAGTCTCTCACTAAACAATCTCCTACCACGTAGTCGCCTACAAGACGATCCCGTTCAACATGGTCGCTTGTCACATAGTCGTCTGGCAGATGATCCTTTACCAGCTAGTCGCGTGTCACCACTCTTATCAAAACTTCTCCAATCAAGAGGTCTTCTACCAAACGGTCTTCTACAGAATGATTCCCTACCACATGGTGGCCTGGCAGATGATTCTTCACCAGCTAGTCGTGTGTCACCACTCTTATCAAAACTTCTCCAATCAAGAGGTCTCCTACCAAACAATCTTCCGCCAAACAGTCATCTACCACATGGTCGCCTTCCAGATGATCCGCGGCCGAATGGTCACCCTTATAGCCCATGGCTACACTCTACTATGGCAGTCAGTGCGGATCCGGTCTCTGCAGACGTTCCCTCAGCTAATCGAGCCATAATACCTCCTATCTCGACTTCAGAGGTTCCACGCTCTATCCTTGGTAAATCCAGAGCTACCGGAGAATTATCTTTGCCACAATCATCATCAACATCATCGTCTGTTGATTTCGATTTGCACAATCTCCGAGAATTGAGCAGGAAGCCTCGTCCACCAACAGTTGATAGAACCGATGTGCTACCGCTAGACGAAGAAAAATCTCCTCGACCCTTTTCAAGATTCTTCCGTTTGCCATTGACGCCAAGGAAGCCACGAGGACCGGATCCATCTGCTTGGAACACGTCCTGGCGTTCCCGTTCTGAGGACTCAATTGAATCGCCCATACCAGGCAGAACGCGGCTAGGCAACTCTGCTAATCTGAAGCCTATTGGTAGTCTCCATCATCCAAGAGATGCAGAGGACCCTAGCCCTAGCCCCGCTCGCCTCAGCCCACCGTCACTTCAAGATAACGACTGGCTTTACCCAAATTCAGATGATATTGGACTTCCATTACCTGAATCTGCAGCACCGCGACCACTCTCGCTAGAAGATCGAGAGTGGCTGTATTCAGCATTCGACGAAGACCAGTATGATCAGACGTACGATCCCGATGTCCCGTTTCGCCAGCTGTCGCCTATGCCCATCTCGGAGGCAGCAAGAAGCTACGCAAGTCTTCCTTGATCGACAGTGCGCATACCTGTCAAGACAAGCAATTGGCCGATTTCACGGTGTGGATGTACTCGTCGACTGGTATGCTTGAGGCGTCGGCGAGTATTGTACTGTGAGGACTATCACACTTTCGCTTTTGTATTCTTCCAGGTTCTGTAGAGCTTTGTGTCAACGGTCCCTCTATGGGCTGAGGTTGCCATCTTGCGAAGATGATGTCAACGCTGGTACTATGGTAGACGTCTAGGCACACCGATTCCTCCTCTAGTACTACCCACACCTCTTAATTTACACAGACGCTGAAGTAGAGAATAGACAAGATTGAATTGACCTTTTGCTTGTTTTGTACATGTGGATGCCCTGCGACTCTTGATGCCTTGATATTTTGATTGCATGGAAAGACTATACTCTTGAAAGCGTCGAGATACTCATACTCGATAACCTCCCTCCATACACACTCCCTCCCGACAAGGCTTTACCGAGGAGGATTTAGAGGTATTTGGCGTGTTTGTTTCGCTGACGTCACTTCCACAATGCTCTCGATACTTTGTTACTCTATTGATTCTTACCACGGTCTCTTTCTCGGGTCTTCATCACACCCCCTTCTTTACTCGAAACCCTGCATGATCATCTGGACCCGGTATGTCTTCCAACCACTTCGGTGTGACATGGCGAAAGGCTCTCGTATCTTTGCCGCGACTCGTCCCCGATTTCGTCTTGCACTGGACGTCGCCCGAGGGCCCGCACCCCGTCGTCTTCAGCATCCCGTCCCGAGACTCGCATGCAATCCCACTCTACGTCTTCATCCCGCCACGTCGCAATCCACATCACCACCGACCCGCGTCTGAGGGAGCGCATCTCAGAGAGGCATTGCACCCTCCACGAGGCACGGAAGACGAGGAGACGAAGCTGCCCGTCCTCATCGACTTCCACGGCGGGGGCTTCGTCCTCGGGTCCTGCCAGGAGCAGGTGCCGTTCTGCGCCAAGATGTGCCGGGAGCTGGACTGCGTCGTCATCTCCGTCGACTACCGACTCGGCCCGGCCGCGCAGTACCCGGCGGCGCACTTCGACGCCGAGGACGTGGCTCGCGCGGTGCTCGACCCGACCAGCCCCGCGTACGGGGCCCTCCGGGCCGGCATCGGGTCGGCGCTCGAGAGGCAAGAGCGAAAGGGCGTCGTCCTCGACGAGCGGAGGATCGCCCTCTCCGGCTTCAGCTCCGGGGGCAACCTGGCCCTGAACCTGGCCCTGGGCACCAGGGACGACCCGACGGTCCACCGCGACTGGCCCAGCCCGATCCCGTGGGGCCTCGAGGGCCACGTCCCGCTCCTGCTCTTCTACCCGTCCCTCGACACCCGGCTGCTCCCGCACGAGAGGCCCAGGCCCGAGGGCTACGACGCGCCCCCGAGCTTCGCCGAGCGGTGGAGGCTGGAGGCCGAGCTGATGCCGACCTACCTGCCGGCGTCCAAGAGCGGCCACCCCAGGGCGAGCCCGGGCCTGGCGGACCTGAGGGCGCCGGAGGGGGGCGGCGCGGCCGGCCTCCACCCCAAGGCGAAGATCATGCTCGTCCTGCCGCAGTTCGACACGCTCCACCACCAGAGCATCGTCTGGGCGCAGAAGGTCAACGACCAGGGGCGGGGCTCGGACCTGGACGTCGTCGAGGTCAAGGGCGTGATGCACGGATGGACGCAGTTCCCGGACTCGTGGCTGGACGACGACGGCAAGGCGTCCAAGTGGGCCATGTTCGAGAAGGCCAGGACGTTCCTGGACATGTACTGGAACGACGCCGAGGGGAAAGAGGTGGATGTCCAACTCGTCGCCGGCGACGACGGCGACGTCGAGGTGAACTCGGTGACCTAGTTCGCTCGAGCTCCCTCGCCGTCGAAGTCACCCGTGGATCCATCAGCGCTGTCACCACGCCTGTGCGAAAGAACCGACTCCCAAACCCCCCTGAACGCCTCGTGTCACAAAACCCAACGTCCAGGCCTCGTCCCAAAAAATCCCCCCTTCAATCACAGCCTGTCGACCTTCCTTTTTTCAAATCCGACCCAACACTTTCGACATTATCTAATCTCAATGGTATACATTCCGGAGAACAACAATAACAACAACAACCATGGATATGGCGTCCTATGTCGACGTTGTCACTATCATAGGGTTTATGGTGATCATCGCACCTAGCAAGAGCCTTGCCCGCTTGATGGAAATAAAGCGCAGCACCCAAAACCTTTTGCCATCCGTTTTGATCCACAACAAGGAATTTTTTTCCCAAACAGAATGAGAAGAATAACAATAAGCCGAGGTGTCATGGAGTACTACATTTTTACCAAGATGACCACGGCGAGAAACGTCAGAGTCGACACGCTATGGCGGAGATGATTATAGTTACGTACGCGAGTATATCATTCAACTCCTACCTTACCCGAGTCGGATAATAGACAATGTACAATACCATGGGGGCGTGACAGGTATATAAAAAAAAACCACAATACAAAGAGGACTTGCCCAATACTGTACGTGCAATGTAATGTACCTCACGGGGTTTACCAAGGTACCTAGGTACGCCAACCTAGGCCCCAGGGTAACCATTCCCCGTGAGGTAGGATCAGGAATGAGTCCTCGTGACCCCGGGGGGGGGGGGGGGGGGGGGGGGGG